TAATTAGGACTACACACTCTAGTGAGCTGTTGGTAAAGTCATGTTAACAGGAATTTTAGATTAATTCAAGTAAATTGTTCCTGTCCAGAGGTTGGATATGGACTATTGCAAAAGTGATATCAGTCTCTAATCTAATCGTCTAATATATTATTTTGAGAAAGCAGTGTAAATACATGGTGGCCGATATGTAACTGACTGGTTTGCATCTTGAATATTTCCATGTCTATTTTTTTCATCCTAATCTTTTATTTAAACTTAGAAATTATGTATTTAACATGATATCAGACAAATGCCCGCCTCTAGAAGCCGCGCAAACCTGAACCCTCTTGATTATATTTTCCATCAGTTTTTGGTGGGTTTCGGGAGGAATATTTTCAATCGCTTCCGTAATATTCTTCAGCTGCTCTACAGTATTTGCTTTGTTGGCATAAGCCCTATTTTTCAAAAATTCTCATAAAAAAATCAGGAGCCGTTAAATCCGGCAACCTTGGTGGCCAGTTGACATCACCAAATCGAGAAATTAAACATCCCGGAAATATTGTTCGCAAAAGATTCATTGTTTCCGTGGCTGTGTGACAAGTTCTTCGCCCTGCTGGAACCACATGTTTTGTAGGTTAAATTGTTGGATTTTAAGTATGTAAAACCTTTTAACAATACGAACGCGTTGTTCGTGCAGCGCTCTACGATGAATTGGAGACACGTGCTTTAAACAATTACTACGGCGCCACCTACTGAAATGCGTTGATCAAAAATGGCGCGCAATTTAAATCAGTCAGTTATACATTGGTATAGGTAAAATTTACGGAAAAATCTTCAAAGTTTTTATTTTAGTTTTATGTATATATGAAGTACAAACATTTTATTTTTGTATTGTTCCAAGAAAACAATGTATTTCGCTTAACCTAGTAAAAGTATGTAAATATAAGTAAAATTTACGGAAAAATCTTCAAAGTATGGATTTTAGTTTTATGTATGTATGCAAGTACAAATTTAATTTTTGTATTGTTGTAATTTTTGATCGACAGAACGTGTATTCAGTTTGTTTATAATAGAAATGTATTAAATTTGGTTATGTACAAAGATAATCTTAATAAATGTTTGTTTTTTTAATCTGGGTGTGTTATTTCGCTTATTCGTCAAAAATTTAAACCCTCCAGTATTTTTTTCTTGGCTGAAGTGTTTATAAACCAAGTAATATCGATATTTTCAGTCTCTAATCTGTATCCTCGTTTAATATATATTTTTTAAGAAAACATTATATATAATATATGAAGTTGAGTCATTAATTTTCAGATAATGATTGTAGAAGGAAGATAAACCAAAATATGTGTGTAAAAATTAAAAAAAAATGTTACCTTGTTTTATAAAGTATCCTCCCGACAAGTATTTCAGTGCGGACCTGTATTTGATCGTGCGGTCTTGGAGCACCGGCATGCCCTCCCCTGTGAGGTCTTAAGTCACCTGATTCACGAGCCCTTTGTACTACATTAACAAAGGCACGAGGGGTTGGTTGCACTCGATTGGGGAACCGATTCGCACAAATCCGTGATGCCGCGGCAGCATTTTGTAAAGACTCCCCCCCCCCCGTAAATAAGAATCATGTCCACAAGTTCAGCATTTTCGTAAACATGTGCCATTTTTTATTTCGTTTGAGCCACGCAACAAACACCACTATTCACTCACGCGTTACCGACTGACGAAAAACATCGTGATAAACGTTTCAAATTATTTCGCTTTTTTGTTTCCGATGCGATGAACCGGTAAGGCGGAATATATCCGTTGTCGCCAAACACGAGCACATAATATTATTATTGAGACAGGGCGGTACTCAAACTTCCAAAGGGCTATAACTTTGTTAATTTAATTTTACCAGAAAAATGTTAAAAGAAAAAACATTTCTTTTGATCAGATCTACTCACTGTTAAAATAAATGACTCAACTTCGAAGTCACCCTGTATATAAGGTGATTCAAATTTAAAAAAGTATTTAAAAAAAAGAAGAAATTAAAAATTATAAAAAAGTATGCATTTGTCCTTTCAGGGCAGTTCATTACAATTATGCTTGAAAGATGATATCAAGTAAATGACCGCCGCGGCTCATGTGGCATGACGTAATACGTTCGAGAAATTTTCGACTACTCCTGTTTCAGCTCCGCAATTGTGTTCGGGTTATTCTTGTAGACTTTGCTCTTGAAATACGCTAAGTAGATAATCTAAGGGAGTTAAATCACAGGATCGCGGCGGCCAATTGATATCGCTGTTACGTGAAATAACGCGACCTGGAAACTTGCCGCGCAGTAGTTGTATCGTTTCTCCTGATGTGTGACCTAGGCTTCAATTCCTGTGTTATTTTGACTCTGTATGGGTGTAACTTCAAATCTTTTGTTAAAATCCGCTGTATAGTCGAATAAGTAAGGTCCAGTTGCTGCGATCGATGACGAATCGAGGTTCTTGGATTTTCGGCCACACTTTCGATAACAATAGCAATATTGTGTTAGGAGCGACCTCTACGAGCACGCCTAGGGGTTTTGGTGTTAGCTAGTTAGCTACGGATCCAGTTTGCTCGAATTTTTCCACCAAATTCTAAACTGTCCTCTCACAAGGCCGATTTTGTGCGCCAAAAAATTGACGTAAAGCACGAAATGTATTCTTCCTTGATCGGCCGTTTTCATTATAGGCTTGGATAATTTTAACACGTTGTTTGATCGCATATTGCTTCAAGACTTTTGTTTATATTTTGACGTTAGAAATGGCATGTTGTCGTTGACAAATTCAGTGGCTTTTCCAAAAAAAAATTATTTGTAATGTGGAAACTCAATTTGAATCACCCTTTATATTATATTTCGCTTAACCTAGCAAAAATATGTAAATATGAGTAACATTTACGGAAAAATCTTCAAAGTATGGATTTTAGTTTTATGTATGCATGTAAGTACAAATTTTATTTATGTATTTTTCTAATTTTTGAGCGACAAAGTGTCTATTTAGTTTGTGTTAATAGAAATGTGTTATGTACACAGAGAATCTTAGTAAATGTTTTATTTTTTAATCTGGGTGTATTTCGTTTACTCGTCAAAAAATCTAAACATTCCAGTTTTTTTTTCTCGACAGTGTTTCTAAACCAGGTAATATCGATGTTATCATTTTCAACAACCTTCCAATAGAAATTGGCATTCTGGCTCAGAATATCCCATCCTATATTACGGTTTATATACTAAGTGATAAATCCGAACACCCAGTTTAAATGGTTTTATTTTAATAAAATTTTGTATAAGTACTTAATGAAGCATAATAAGTAAATGATAAAAATTTCAAAATGATTGCACTGCTTTAAAGCCCTTTGACCTTTAATAATGTGTGGATGCACCCTGATGTGCTGCGCATTCTCCAACGCGCCTAGGCATGCTTCTGATCAGGTGGTCAATGTCCTCCTGTGGTATCTCATTCCAGGCAACCACCAACTCCTCTCGAAGTGCTTCTAGAGTCTGAGGAGGACGTTGCAAATTGAGCAATCTCCTACCCATCATATCCCACACGTGCTCAATTGAGGATAAGTCGGCCATGGTAACAATATGACATCATTATGTTGAAAGAAGTCTATTGTGACTCTTGCAACATGTGGTCGGGCATTATCTTGTTGGAAAGTTGGATCTGCCAGGGTGTCAAGATAGGGTAAAAGATGGGGTTCTAGAACTTCGTGGATATAACGCTGCGCGTTCATGTTACCTCTGATGAAGATTAAAGGTGACCTGGAACCATAAGCTATAGCACCCCAAACCATAACTCCAACAGTGTGATGAACATGTCTTTCAACAAAAAACTGTGGATTCCTCCTTTCACCACGTCGCCTTCTAACCCTGGCACGACCATCGTGCATGCCTAAACAAAATCGAGACTCGTCACTAAAGACAATACTGTTCCATTCCTGATCCCAGAGTGACCGTTGTCTGCACCACTCAAGGCGATTACGTCGGTGTTCTCGAGTTAAAGGGAGGACCCAGTGTGGCCGGTATGAAAACAAGCCAAAACTTCTCATTCGTCGGTAAACACTTCGCATGCCAATAGGTCTTCCGTGTTCTGCAAACCATTCATTTGCAATGGACCTGGTAGTGGAGAAACGGCCCCTTAAGGCCAATAATCTTAGGCGGCGGTCTTCACGGTCTGTTGTTCTACGGCGGCGTCCAGTGCCCCTTGCTCTTTGCGTACGGCCTTCTCGAAGCCATGCCTGACAACACCTAACCACAGTGTCTACACTTCTTTGCACTCTAACTGTAATTGCCCGAAAAGAAAGTCCAGCTTCCCGAAGTCCCACTATACGGCCCCTATCAAACTCACTAAGTTGACGAAATCGTACAGGTCTCCGTACTCTAGGCATCGTAACCGATCGTAAAGGATGTCAAGAACCAAAATCCGCCAACGTTGATTCTTTACTGCGGCTGAAATATTCATTTTTAGAGCGTTAGTGAATTAAAAAACAGCAGTATAAAAACCGGAATGTCCAACTGATAAGGCTGAAAATTTTTTCACTTGTTATTTACAGTAAAATAAATACATTCACCAACTTTTATTAAAATAAAACCATTTAAACTGGGTGTTCGGATTTATATGTCACTTAGTATAAATATGTACCAAGAGTTCAATATTTCGTTGCTGTGTCGTTGAAATTCTGTACGTATTTCGACAATCACGCACACAGCTTAAAGTGGTGAGGTATAAATTATTGATTTTCTTAATGTAATTCATAAATAGAACAAAATGGAAACGTATCCGCTTTCTATATTTTAACTCTAAACTCTAAATAAAACTTCCTTACCATGTATCTCGGTAGTGGAGCATCTTTGGACCCATATTTATAGGAACTTTTTTTTTGTTATTTTTGGATGTAATTTCTACCCTAGAAATATGAGCTCGTCTTTCTGAAACACCCTGTATAATTATGCTTGATATCCATGACAACTGTTACACACTCCTTAGCAACGAAGCAAATATTGATGTATTGATTAAACGTCATGACCGTCGTTCAAATTTGACTATTGTCAAGCATTTTACCGCGATTCAAGTAATTTACAAAGCATTTGCTGAAGAATTTTCAAGAGTATTTTTATATTATACATAATGTCCTGGCGACAACCAGCGTGGGACAAGATCTGCGAGTTTACTACGAAACCGACGTATGACCTTCACGATGAATATATGGTGTCAAAGGCGATCACAGATGAACATCCCAAGTATGTCCGCAAAGATTTATTTTGAAAAAATCTAAAGTAAGGGTTTTCCGCAGTAGTCCTGACATCGATGTATGTACGACTAGTTTCTGTCCACCATCCCCTCGAACGTCGCTATTTCGTTCTTATTAGAGCTAGACTTCAATTTTTCAATCACCACTGGCTTTTTTACACCGAAGCAGCCGCGCAGGCAGAAGCCTAAATGCCATGGCACCGCGGCTGCTATATGAAGACCCCAAATAAACTGTGTTAATCCGACTCTTGATCCGCCTTAGTAGAACTGGGAAAAGCCTCCTCTTGTAGTTTGTTCCACAATCTCGACACCCCAGAGTCAAAGGAGGGGTCGTATCGGCCAGTAAAACACTGTACTGTACCTTGACGAACAAAAAGCGTCCTAGCGCTCATCCGGTTTTGATGGATGGCCGAGTTTTGCCAAAGAGCGGATCATTTCGGCTGGTCGGAGTCCAGATCACCGAGGACTTGATCTGGCACGAACACGTCTCATCAATAGCGTCTGCTACTGGTAAAAAGCTATTTGTTTAGGGCTAAGAAGCACTTTTCTCCACATGATCTCACTCTACAAAAGGCCCAGATGAGAGTATTGCTCACATGTTTGGGGTGCTACCGCCTAGGCTTCATTATCCATGCTCGATGCTGATCAGAGGAGGGCTATCCCACTGGTCTATCACTCTTCTCTAACAGACTCAGGACCCTTTCGCACCGGCGGGCAGTCAGCGATCTTTCCAGCTCACCGACAGAGATCGACTTGTCGCTGTCGATTGGATTGATCGTACAGGATAGCTGCTCGTAAGAGAAACAGTGTCTGAGCCAAAACTGATCCCTGAGGAACACTCGCGTTGACATTGTGGAGTGCAGGAGAACCCGTCAGCCACTCATCTGCAAAGCTTCTCTGGGAGTCCACAGGATGGAAGTTTGCAACAGAGGGCAGCACGCCACAACTGATCGAACGCCTGCGTGATATCAAGAGCAGCGACATTAGCCTCACTATCACTATAAGACTGAATGAGTTTACTGCACAATTGCGTGACGTAAGCTAGGAGGTCCCCTGTGAATCGCTGGTGCCGGAAACCACACTGCCTGTCGCTACTCGATTACTTATAACAGAAGACGACGCTAGGTACTGTTGCGTCTTGTAGAACTTCGGATTTCACTGATGTTTCACTTGAAACTTATAGAGGGTAGTCTGAGAGATTATTTTAGATCAAAAAAAGTGTGGATGAAGCACACTTTTCATGAAATTTTTTTACCCAAAACACTATATTTTAGCAGTTATTTCCCTCATTATTTCCACCGCCATCTACCATATGACGTTGACGTCTGTGGGTGCGTCATATATGAGAGGCGCTTGCCTGCGGTGTTGCCGGATTGGGCTCCATATTTAGGGAAAAATATGAAAAGTGGAAAATTTATATACCTGTATATTAATTAATGAAACACAAAAACAAAAAACTGAAATAACAGTAGCAAAATTAAAAGCGATTCTTGCTAAGTATAAAACAAAAAATAACAAACAGCAGTAAAATAAAAAGCAACTCTAAGGATTATAAAAAATTAAAACAGCAAAACAAAAATCAATTCCATGTAATTATAAAAAACAAAAAATAACAAACAGCAAAATAAAAAGCAATTTGGATGGAATGAAATTGTTTTTCGTTTTACTACTGTTTTTACTTTTTGTTTTGTGTTATCACTTAGAATTGCTTTTTATTCAACTCTTTATTTTTTGTTTTTTATAATTACATGGTTTTTTTCTAACTGTTATTATTTTTTTATCACTTAGAATGCTTTTCATTTTACCGTTTGTTTACTATTGTTTTTATTTTTAGTTTTTTATAATTATTTACAATTTATCATTTTTTACCTTACTACCTACTGTAATTTTTTGATTTATACTTATTATTAATCACCTTTCATTTTGCTACTGTTGTTTGTTTCAGTTTTTCGTTTTTGTGATTCATTAATTAATATATGTATACAAATTTTCCACTTTTCATATTTTTCCCTAAGTGCGGAGCCCAATCCGGCAACACCGCAGGTAAGCGCCTCTCATATATGACATATGCACAGATGTCTACGTCATATGGTAGATAGCGGAGGGAATAATGGTGGAAAGAACAGCTAAAAATACAGTGTTTTGGTAAAAAAATTCATGAAAAGCGTGCTTCATCCACACTTTTTTTTGTTCGTAAATATTCGGTCTTTTGGGATGGGTTGGATTTGAGCAAATTATTTAAAATTTTCTGTGAAGGTGCCGGATTCATAAAATATCTGGAAGAGACGCGAAAGAACTGGAGCAAGCTCCGCTGCCCACCTCTTCAAAGCAATCGCCATCTTCATACAAAGCTATAAAACAATGCATCAAGAATATCTGTGTCTGCTCAAAACGAGTAATATAGTCATTTTCGCTTTTGCTCTGAAGATCATTACTATCTAAGATATGACGCGTAACGAAAAATACCAGCAAAAATCGTGAATTTTTAATTTTATTTTTTGAACAATTTACGCCTTTTGCCTGCTCATTTGTGGAATGTTTTTAAGGGCAAAATTGTAGTTGAGGGGTTGTAGGGGATAGCGGAGGGTAAGTCACACAGTCTCGCATGAATAAATTTCTACGCTTCTAACCCCGGTAATTATAAGTCCTATTAGACATGTTTTTCACCTAGACTTCCACGTATATTAAAATTTGTCCTTGGGACTTACGAGGAGAATGATGGAAATGCAGTAGAGGATCTAGGATCTCTGGGGCCCGCCGCACAAGGTTCATATGGGGCCTGTATACAGGGTGTCCCAGAAGTCGACGTCAATCCGAAAACGGGAGACACGACTTAGATTTTGTTTACAGGGCACGCCATCTTTTATGTCGGTATGTAAACATGAAATAACTTTGAAAACGAAAAACTGATTTCTATATATTAGGTATTGTTATAAAATATGGTGCTCTACAATTTATTGGGAATAGTTTTTGAACACATCTATCAAGTGGCCACCTTTACTGGCCAAAACAGAATGTGCCTGTTTAGCTGCGTTTTCCATTACTTTTTCGAGCATCTCTGGTGGTATAGCGGCGATTGCGGTACGAATGTTTGCCTTGAGTTCTTCAGTGGTCTGGGGCTTGCTGGCGTACACTTGACTTTTCAAATAACCCCACAAGAAGAAGTCCGGTGGGGTCAAATCTGGAGACCTGGGTGGCCAGTCAATGTCACCTCAGGATTGTTTCATTTGCAGTGTGGCATGGCGCACCGTCTTGTTGAAACCCGTAACCATCAAGACCTTTTTTCACGCATTTGTGGTCAGACAATGAGCCAACATCCACCGATATCGATTTCCATCGACTGTTTCGTTTTCGTTGAAGAAAAATGGCCCAATGATGGTTTTTGGAGCAAACGCCGGCCCAAACAGTCGCTTTCCGGTCATGCAACGGCATTTCGTGGATATCATGTGGATTTTCCGTCCTCCAAATGCGGCAGTTTTGCCGCCAGAGAGCGTGAAATGGGCCTCGTCGGTCATCACAATTTGCTTCCAAAAATCAGGATCAGCATCAACCATGCGAGCGACCGTTTGCCGTATTCCAAGCAACGTGGACGGTCAGTTGGCAATATTTTTTTGGTAACTGCACCTTATAAGGAAACAAATGCAAATCATCCTTCAAAATGCGCCGCAACGTGGTTCCACTGATGCCAAAATGCTGAGCGCGGTGACGATACGACACTTTTGGGTTCTGGGCAACGCTGTCTCTGACCGCTTCAACCAATTTATTGGAACGTCTTGGTCATTGATGAACGGTATGTTGACGATCTCCTAGTGACCCGTACTCAAGAAAATTCGAAACAAAACGACCGATAGTGTTGCCTGTTTGCCACGATATTTTCGAGGAAATGCACGTTGCGTTAACACAACTGAACGATGATTTTCAATGTACATTGTGACTATTTCGGCGCGTTGTTTCGGTGTAAAGCGATTCATCACTAAAATTGTAGGAAATTGACGTTTCAGAAACACGTATAACCAAATCACTCGGTTGGTAAATATCAAAGTCATTCGATGTTTCAATACCGACATAAAAGATGGCGCACCCGGTATATTTTTCAGATAGCTATTATGACTTAGCCTTTCCAGCCTGACGTCGACTTGTGGGACACCCTGTATGTGCGAAGGGCGGAGATTACGATTGGAGGGGCCCTGTGACAGTGCGAAACTGAACCCCAACTATGCCCCTGGTAAAAATTTTAGACCGGGACGGCCGGTGGTCAGGTGTGACATAATTCTCAAGAAGTACATTTTTTGAACCCGCTCGTGGGGGACTCTCGGTGACCGATGCACAGTGATCCAGTGATCCACCCCTGTAGATCTGTAGAAGATAAACCTGGCGGTTTTCTCGGTGATTGTCAAATGGGTGGGGGCTGGGGACTAATTGCAAGGGACTATTTGACTGACTTAATATTTATAGATGTTCGTAATTAACCTTTTATAAACTGATGGTAGCGTCGCGTGCAGAGTCGACCTACCCGACAACATTTTCTTAATCGCCATGACGTGCTCCTCATAGTGCACCCTATATAGTTTCGAATATTTCAGGATCCATAACTCGGGTGACGACGTAAAAAGGGATATGCAAACTAGACACTGCATAGCTTTAGGAAAACTAACCGAAACTGAAGCTCGTTTGAAGGCAGCTAGACAGTTTATGTCAAAAAGGAGAGTTAACCTCGACGAACAGTGGGGAGAACTAACCAGACAAGAAGAAGAATTGAGGGAAAACTTCATCGCTTTTAGTAGTGTTGGTATTCCTTATTCCATTACATGATCACTTTTTTAATCTACACTATACAGGGTGGCCCAACGACAAGGTCTTTGTGACTCTCCTGGTCGGGCACGTCAATTTTGATTTCAAGGGGGACGTCTTTTCAGCTATAGCCCTACAATACAGGGTGATCCAAAAATAAGATATTGGGTTACACTTTAGATTTTTAAATAGAAACCCATTTTCTTAATTTTTAGATTTTCCATTAAGTGTATACTGCTCGTTCTGAAGCTATTGGACTTAAACATAAAATTATAGAAATTGTGATCATAAGGGATTATACAGGTTGCGCCATCTATTACTTTTTTTTCTATTTGAAAAATCAACACGCTTGTCACGAGGTGAAATCGATTTTTTTTATTTTTTTTTTTTTATATCGAAACAGCCGCGCAGGCAGAAGCCTAAATGCCGGAACACCGCGGCTGCTATGATGATCCCAAATAAATTTTGTTAACACGATTTTTGAACTGTCTAAGGTTAGTAGAACTGGGAAAAGCTTCCTCCCGTAGTTTGTTCCACAATCTAGATACCCTCGGGATAAAGGAGCGGTCGTATCGGCCAGTTCTGGATGTACGAAGTTTGACACGGTTAGGATGGGACGCCGAAGTCAGGCGGGTCTGTCTGGCAGGCACATCGCGCGGCGGCATCATGGAAGAGAGCTCTGAGGAGCAAAGCCCGTTGGTGTAGCGATAGAAAAGAGCTAGATCGCCGACGGCCCGCCGGTGCGAAAGAGTCCCGAGACTGTCTGTTAGAGAAGAGTCATCGATCAGTCGGACCGCCCTCCTCTGGACAGCATCGAGCATGGACAATGTAGTCGGGGCGGCAGCACCCCAAATGTGTGAGCAATACTCGAGGCTAGGCCTTATCTGGGCCTTGTATAGAGTGAGAAGGTCATGCGGAGAAAAGTACTTCTTAGCCCTAAACAAATAGCCTAGCTTTTTCCCAGCAGCTGCAGCTATTGAAGAGATGTGTTCGTGCCAGATCAGGTCCTCGGTGATCTGGACTCCGACCAACCGAAATGAATGGCTCTTTGGTAGAACTCGACCGTCCATCGAAACTGTATGAGCGCTAATTCGCTTTTTGTTCGTCAAAGTACAGTACTGTGTTTTGGAAGCATTGAACTGTACAAGATTGTTGCGTCCCCAAGCAGTGATAGCCTCCAGGTCTCTTGTCAGGGAAGAAGTCGTCGCTAGTCTTCTTTTTTCCAGCTCAGCGGCAGAGATCGGCTTGTCACTCTGAATTCCTGCATGTAGAGTGCTGTCATCAGCGAAGCTGTGGATTGGGTTGATCGTGCAGGAAAGGAGGTCGTTGATATGTAAGAGAAACAGTGTTGGAGCCAAAACCGATCCCTGGGGAACACCCGCGTTGACGTTGTGGGATGAAGAGGAGAATCCGTCAATTACGACGGATATCTTGCGGCCAGAGATAAAGTCAGCCACCCATCTGCAAAGCTTTTCTGGGAGGCCGTAGGATGGAAGTTTGCTCAAGAGGGCAGCGTGCCACAGCTGATCGAACGCTTTCGTGATGTCAAGAGCAACGACATGAGCCTCACCATGAGACTAGATGAGTTTACTCCACAGTTGCGTGACGTAAGCTAGGAGGTCCCCTGTGGATCGTTGGTGCCGGAAACCGTACTGCCTGTCGCTAATCAAGCTGTGACGTTCGAGGTAGTCCAGAAGCTCGCGATTTATACACCTCTCCATTACTTTACTTATAACAGAAAGCAGAGCTATAGGCCTGTAGTTGTAAGGGTCGGTTTTAGATCCTTTTTTTGGGATGGGCTGTACATGAGCAAATTTCCAGTTTTCTGGGAAGGTGCCGGATTCATAAGATATCTGGAAGAGACGCGAAAGAACTGGAGCAAGCTCAGCTGCACATCTCTTCAGTACAATGGTAGGAATCAAGTCCGGACCAGAAGCTTTGTTGATGTCGAGCGACAAGAGCACTCGTCTTACGGTCTTATGTCTGAATGTTACCTCCCGCATAGTGTGGGGAACCCTTTGAATTGACGGCACTTGGGCGTTGGTGGGGACGTCCATGGTGGAGTTGGCAGCAAAGATCTTGGCTAGCACTTCCGCCTTGGCCTTTGAGTCGAATACAATAGTTCCATCCTGGCACGTAAGTGGTGGAAGGCTACTGTGTGAGAAGTTCTTTTCAATCTGCTTGGCCAGCGTCCAGAAAGACCGACTGCCATTGCGCTGCGACATTACCCTGTGCCTAACTTTTATATCATGCTGGGTTTTGGCATTGCGAACCGCTTCGTTATATTGGTTTCTGGACTCGACGTCGGCTTGTCTGTTCTCTACAGTGGGGTTTTGTAAGTAGGTTCTGTGGGCCTTGATCTTCTGCTGGCGAGCAGTGTCACACGATTTGTTGAACCAGCCGTTGGACCCTGGTTTAGGAGCTTTCACTGTGTATTGATAAATGATGGTTGGTTTATGCCGTTTATGAATGAAAAATTACATCAAACATGTGACCAGCGCGGCTTCGGTAGCAGGCCAACATCCGAACATCAAAATTTTCAATGACTTTTCCCAGAATAATCGGGTCTATGGCCGCAGTTTCAGTCCGAATATTGCGCTTTAGGTCTTGAATTGTCCGGGGACCATTCGCATACACTTTTCCTTTCAAAAATCCCCCAAAATAAGCAAGAGGTGTTAAATCGCACGATCTCGGGGGCCAACTGACATCTGAATTTCGTGAAATTATGCGGTCTTGAAATTTCGTGTGCAATAAGGCGATTGTTTGGCGAGATGTGTGAGGTGTTGCTCCGTCTTGATAAAACCAAAGATCGCTGGCACCAATACAATCCAATTGTGGCCACAAAAACTCTGTTAACATGCCGCGATAACGTTCCCCGTTGACGGTAATGGCCAACGATGCCACCAGACTATAATCCGCACCAAACAGTCACTTTTTCAGGATAGAGAGATTAGATTGTTCATGATATTGGTGTGGATTTTCAGCCCCCCAGAACGCTTATTTACGTACCCATTGAGGTAAAAATGAGCCTCATGAGAATAGAGCACTTTGGCCGAAAATCCGTCTTCTCTTTCCAGCATCCGTTTAACAAAAACACGCCTCTGTTGATGGCAGGCCGGCTTCAATTCTTGTGTTAGTTGGATCTTGTATGGATGGAGGTGTAAATCAATGTATAAAATCCGGCGTAAAGTGGTCTCACTAATTCTCAATTGTTGCGAACGGTGCCTAGTCTAGGTGATTGGATCTTCTCGCACACTTTCACTCACTGCGGCTATGTTTTCACGAGTACGAGCTGGACGAGCATGTTGGTATGGTCTACGACCTTCAGCTGAACCAATTTCCTCAAAACGATTAACAATCCAACGAATTCCATGCTCAGTAAGGCGTCCATGTCGGCCAAAGCTAGTCCGAAGTTTGCGACAAGTATTTTGTATATTTCGACCGTTTTCGTGATAAGTTTGGTTAACCAAAATGCGTTGTTGTGTTGTAAACGAATCCATGATTATAAATGGCATACCTTTGACAGTTCATTTATGCATACCACATGACTTTTGACTGACATGGTAACACATAAACTTATAGGTAAAAAAAAACAGGTCGCCGAGTATTAAAAAACAAAACAACTAATGTAATTTTTATTATCATTTTCTATTATTTCAGAAGATAATTCGTTTCGCCCATTAGGTTTCAAGGAATGAAGAAAGGTCCTACATTATGAATTCAGAAAATGCCGGCCCACACATTTATTTTTTCAGGATATTGCAAATGTACCTCTCGAAACAAATGCGGATTCGAGTCACTCAAATATTAAATAACACATTTTCATTGTTGATTAAACGTTGTGACATTAATTCGCAAAAGTCCAACCTTCTATCAAAATCGTCTCCATTAAGCTCATGGACAAGTCTTATCTTGTACGGGTGAGTCACAAATGGGGGTGCGAGCTTTTCGTTGGGTCACCCTGTATACACTAATATTACACAACTCAAGCAATACAGCAAGTGTGAATGTCAACACCGGCTAATACTACTCGCCTAATGGCAAAACTCGGTTGTCTTTTTTTTACACCAAAGCAGCCCCGCAGGTAGAAGCCTGCTATGAAGATCCCAAAGAAACTTTGTTAATCCGATTTTTGAACTAACTAAGGTGAGTGGAATTGGGAAAAGCCTCTTCATGTAGATTGTTCCACAATCTCGACACCATAGGGATAGAGGAGCAGTCGTATCGGCCAGTTCTGGATGTGCGAAGTTCGACACGGTTAGGATGGTCGGCCAAAGTCAGGATCAAAGCCCGTTGGTGTAGCAGTAGAAGAGAGCTAGATCGCCGACGGCCCGCCGGTGTAAAAGGATCCCGATGCTGTCTGTTAGAAAAGATTCATTGATCAGTCCTCTGGAAAGCATCGAGCACGGACAATGTATTCGGGGCGGCAGCACCCTAAACGTGTGATCAACACTTTAGGCAACGTCTTCTATGGGTCTTGTATAGAGTGAAGAGGTCATGTGGAGAAAAGTACTTCTTAGCCCTAAACAAATAGTGTGTCCCCATATGAGATTTGAATCGCCCATTAGATAGTTTTTTTTATTTTATCGCTTGTAGTTTATAAAAGAAAATGACGAAAAATGCGCAAGAGCCAAATCAAAAATCAACGAGATGTTGGCTCTTACATCCACTAGAGCTACAGAGAACATTCAACTACAGAAAGAAGTAGAAGTCTTGCAGGAAACTAAAACGCGTATGGACGCAACTATAAAAAAGTACTACTTATATGAGGTGAATATTACTAAAACGCTTCCCGCACGGCACGGGTATCATGTAAAAAACCTATAAAACGTCGAAAAAAAACCTACAAGATCTCAACTTGCAGACCATGTAGTTTTTAAGGCGCAAACAGTCATTCCACCTTTGCTCACTAGGATCGTTGTGAACGTCCATCTATGAAGGAATTACTCAACTAAACTATACACGCATTATTGGTTGCATAGTTTTGTGAGGCTAAGTGACGAAATCACGTATCTTGAAAAGTGACATTATGCCGACTTTGACATTATGCTGTTTTTTTTTGACATTATGTAGGTTATTCTACAAGAAGTTAACTTAGCACTTGTACGTGTTGCCTAAACGCCATGAGGCTTGTTATCAATCTTTGGCTCTGATATGACGTAAAATCTGCTTCTGAGATGGCATTACTGGAGGTCTAAGCTGTAAGTTGTATGTGTTGATGATACTTGCATTGGGTTCTTATCTCAAATACACTTAATAGAGATTCAAAGCTAGAAATTAGTTGCCCAGCCACTTTTACTCATCCATTCTGGAAATTACATAAATCAAATTCAAGCGGATAACCAAATGGAAATGGTATTTACAATTTTGGCTTGGTATTTACCAATCCGTTCAAGCGAGTGTAGTTATCAGTTTGGTTATAAGATCCGTGACGTCACGAATCAGCTGTTATATGTCATAGTTATCACCGCAAAATTGTGGTATTTACCCAACTCGAAAGTAGTTTTATACTTCTGGTTATTATTTGAAATGTGACAAGTTAGAATTTTGCCGGGTATTGGATATTGTTATTGTACTTCAGCTTCATTTTTGAAAAAATTGATACAGGCTGACTTCTGTTTTACCATAAAGTGGAGCACCTTATTAGTTATACTCATTATGGGGACACTTTAAATGTAGTTCCTATGCTTAACAAAGTATCCTGTGTAGCCATATACCACAAGAATATTAAAATATAGCCATATAAACTCACTAGATGATATCCAGCTGCTAATTTCTTTTTTCATCATTTCTGCTGAATCAATAAATGTTTTCTTTGACATGCGGAAATATTAATCAAATCCAAGCGAATAACCAAAATTTCTGTGTTATGTGCCGCGGTTATAATATGGTTCAAGATGACACACGGGTTGATGACGTCAGTTACACGAATCGCTTGAACGCGTTGGTTTTAACCGCGGTTTTGTTGCAAGTTGTTTATTTTAGAAAAGCGCGTATATAATCTCTGATTATTTTTATTATCACTTAATAATCGGTGCTTTTTCGTCTACAACTGTATATGGAAAGTTTAAATAAGAAACCTTTCATAATATTCATGGGAGAAATGTTTTTTCAGATTTTTTTTTAATGATGGAACCATGGCTTTGTAGCTATTATAACTTTCAATTCTCTAAATTTTTCCGCATGTCAAAGAAGACATTTATTGATTCAGCAGAAATGATGAAAAAAGAAATTAGCAAAACCGTATACAGGTGGATATCATTTAGTGAGTTTATATGGCCATATTTTAATATTCTTGTGGTACACAGGATACGTTGTTAAGCATATGAACTACATTTAAAGTGTCCCCAACAACCGTAATGAGTATAACTAATAAGGTGCTCCACTTTATGGTAAAACTGAAGTCAGCCTGTATCATTTTTCTCAAAAATGAAGCTGAAGTACAATAACAATATCCAATACCCGGCAAAATTCTAACTTGTCACATTTCAAATAATAACCAGAAATATAAAACTACTCTTGAGTTGGGTAAATACCACAGTTTTGCGGTGATAACTATGACATATAACAGCTGATTCGTGACGTCACGGATCTTATAACCAAACTGATAACTACACTCGCTTGAATGGATTGGTAAATACCAACCCAAAATGGTAAATACCATTTCCATTTGGTTATCCGCTTGAATTTGATTATTTAGAAGATTGAAAGTTATCATAGCTACAAAGCCATGGTTCCATCATTAAAAAAAACCTGAAAAAACATTTCTCCCATGAATATTATGAAAGGTTTCTATTTAAACTTTCCATATACAGTTGTAGACGAAAAAGCACCGATTATTAAGTGAAAATAAAAATAATCAGAGATTATATACGCGCTTTTCCAAAATAAACAACTTGCAACAAAACCGCGGTTAAAACCAACGCGTTCAAGCGATTCGTGTAACTGACGTCATCAACCCGTGTGTCATCTTGAACCATATTATAGTGGATACCAAATAAAACCCGATGCACGTCATCGATCTGGAGCTGTGCGCTGTTGCCAGAATTTGCACATTTTCTTTTAAGCAAATAAATTTAATAAAATAAATTGTTTATATATACCTACCATTTACTATAATACCATTATATTAAAAATAAATAAACTTGTTGTAAAATTAAATTCCTTTCTGAATAAAAACACCTGATTTTGGTAGATATTCAATGATATGAGCTCTTTACACCGACTGTTAAGTTGTTTTGGCATTTTGGATACTTTACACTACTTCACAGTAACTGTTGTTCTGAAAAGAACAATTTTTAATTGGCAAGGCAACGATTCAAAGCTCAAATAGCGCAAGACTCACAAACTAAACAATAAAGAACTAATATAGCACGACAAAAGGACAATGGCAACTGATGTCAACAAATGAGAAGTGGCAACCTCACATTTCTCTGCACGGCACTACCAACCGAATCGAGACGGGGAAATTTAAACTTGAAGTAGAAATGTCACATTGAATGTAGTCAACTGTTGGTAACCATGATTTTTATGAATGACATCACCTATGACGTGCATCGGATTTTATTTGGTATCCACGTCATAGGTGATGTCATTCATAAAAATCATGGTTACCAACAGTTGACTACATTCAATGTGACATTTCTACTTGAAGTTTAAATTTCCCCGTCTCGATTCGGTTGGTAGTGCCGTGCAGAGAAATGTGAGGTTGCCACTTCTCATTTGTTGACATCAGTTGCCATTGTCCTTTTGTCGTACTATTAGTTCTTTATTGTTTAGTTTGTGAGTTTGCGCTATTTGAGCTTTGAATCGTTGCCTTGCCAATTAAAAGTTGTTCTTCTCAGAACAAAAGTTACTGTGAAGTGGTATAAAGTATCCAAAATGCCAAAACAACTTAACAGTCGGTGTAAAGAGCTCATATCAATTCTGGCAACAGCGCACAGCTCCAGATCGATGACGTGCATCGGGTTTTATTTGGTATCCACTATATAACCGCAGTACGTAACACAGAAATTTTGGTTATTCGCTTGGATTTGATTATATACAAATTTGCTGAATTTCAAAAATGAGAGAGATGAGAAATAATTATATTCACTGTACACTGTCGAATTACAAGCCAGATACATGCTAACAGAATTACACACAAAGCGGGCGCGGTGATGATTTCCCGTAATTCTCCTCAGTTTTTCGTAATTTATAACTTTGAACATAACGTCTCTTCAGAAAGCACAACATATAAATAACCTGTCATATTTGGCATATTCAGTAATGATTTTCTCACACAGCAAATATCACTGATTTTATACACATGCAGACCAATACACATCATCATCCAGATGCGATCTTGCTATTCAACCAACTTTCTTCTCAGAGATAAAAACTACAGACAAGGAGCACTCGGTCTCGCAAAACATATGCGTGCAGTTTAGTTGTGTGATTCCTCCATAGATGGACGTTCACAACGATCCTAGTGAGCAAACGTGGAATGACTGTTTGCGCCCTAAAAACTACCTAGTCTGCAAGTTGACATCTTATAGGTTTTTTTTTTGAAGTTTTATAGGTTTTTTACATGATACCCGTGCCGATACAGGGAAGCTTTTTGTAATCGCCAATGCTCTATAAACTTTTAGAAATTCCTACAAAAAGTGATGGAAGCATATCCAGACGTCTTCAAATCTTTAAATGAAGTCATTTATCGATATGATGCTCTAATGAATGCTAGGGGTCAACTGGAAACGCTCAATGAATACCGTTTACGGGAACTAGAGATCGCTAAAGCACAATTCGTAAGTACTTACATATTTACATATACAGTATTTTTTGAAAAGGTACCCACCCTATTCATTTTTGAATGGGTCAAGCTGAAATTTGGTATCTTAAATAAAATAAATAAAAATCAATGTCTATTTCCCTTGGCCTACATGGTAGTATAGAAATATAGACAAAAACAGGCACACAGTGTATAAAACAAACAAGACAACACTAGTAGGTTCAAACTATAATGGTCAAAACAGATTTAAAAAGCGTGATTGCAGTCCTACTCCTCTACAGAGTAAAAAGGGTTTTCTGAAAATATATTCTTTACAACTCTTATAAATACGTACGTAAATATGTTGAAATTGGTGCACGAATACTATATTTTAATGTAAAGTTCTGATAATATACGAGGACGGTCCGAGAAATAGGGCGATTTATTCCTCAACATAGTCTCCTTCCATTCGACTAAAATTTTTGCCCGGCGAGTGACTTTTTCAGGTTTGGAAACAAAAAGAAGTCGCACGGGGCCAAATCTGGAGAATGCGGAGGATGGGGCAGCAGTTCGTAGCTTAATTCGACCAATTTGGCCGCGGCGACGGCAGAGATGTGAACTAGTGCGTTGTCATGGTGAAAGAGCACTTTTTTCTTCGCCAAATGGGGCCGTCTTTTCTGCAATTCGGCGACGAATCGGCCCAAGAGTACAGCTCTGTGACCGTTTTCCCCTCTCCAGGTAGTCGCTGTACATCACATCTTGTGGATCTCCTAGAACGATGGCCATCACCTTTCCGAACGATAGTCCACTGTTTTGGCTGTTCCTTGGTCTCTGGTGTGTGCCAGGTGATCCATGTTTCGTCGACGGTCACGAAACGACGCGGACACTCCTTCCGACTGCGCTTAAACAGCGTCAAACACTGCTCTGATGTGGTCTCACGGTTACGCTTGTTTTCTGGAGTGAGCAAACGCGGCACTTATCGCGCAAACAACTGTCTCATGCCCAATATTTCATGCAGGATATAACCCACGCGATCTTTGGAGATGCCTACTCACTGGCGCTCCCACAGGGGGATAAAGGGGGTAATTTCCCCCTCCCCTAGACGAGTCGGGCAGTCTTTGAAAAGGTGGTATAAAGTAAACGTCTTATAAAAAAATCTGTAACTTTAAGAAAGGATAGCGGCAACACTGCCAACCCGCTCAGTGCGCATGCGACTACTCTCACACCAACATCAACGGTGTGCGCTTCTTCCTGTTAGAACAGGTATAGTCAAGTCTTTTATGGTCTAGTCTAGTGTCTAAATTCTGTACCAGTCCGGAGCCCGCAACAAAATTTGTCTGAGAAGTGAACAAGCGAAGTTTTGTTGATCTGGTTGGTATTAACGCTATTTTTTCTATGTTCTATTGATTTTTTATTTTCCACGCATAAGCCACAAAATTAATTTTTGTTTGTTTTTAATTTTTATACTATAAAATAATCGTGTCTTAAAAAATGGTAATTTAATATAATTTCAATTACGAAGTGTTTGACCCATACTCCAGCTATCATTATCATCTACGTCTAATTTGTCATGTATTTGCTACAGGAATTACCGTAACAAATGCATATGTCATGTCTGCATATGTCCATGCTTTTAATGTTAAACCATTATAACACTTCAGTACGTCACACCGAGAATTTACTTTCCATTTTACCCCTCCCAGACTGAAATCCTGGGAGCGCCACTGTGCCTACTCTCTCAGGTATCTCGGGCACCTTCAATCGGCGGTCTGCCAATACGAGATCGTAGATTTTTGTCACGTATCCTTCGGGGCACCAGGGCGTGGCTCATCAGAAACCGATGTGGGACCACGTTGAAACTTATTAAAGCAATTTTGACGTTCGCATTCGCCATCGAAGAAGAAGAGTCACCGTACACAGCATCCATGCGATCTTTTTTTCTAAAATCCGCGGACACGCCCGTTTCCAAACAACACTACAAGTCTGATTCGGTTGAAATTTTGACAGTAACCGTATACGAGAATGTATATTACACGTTAGTACTCTTGCGACAGTGGTGCCATCGAGCGATGAGACTAAATATACTAAGTGACATATAAATCCGAACACCCAGTTCAAATGGTTTTATTTTAATAAAAGTTGGTGAATGTATTTATCTTACTGTAAATAATAAGTGAAATTTTCAGCCTTATCAGTTGGACATTCCGGTTCTTATACTGCTTTTTTTTAATTCACTAACGCTCTAAAAATGAATATTTCAGCCGCAGTAAAGAATCAACGTTGGCGGATTTTGGTTCTTGACATCCTTTACGATCGGTTACGATGCCTAGAGTACGGAGACCTGTACGATTTCGTCAACTTAGTGAGTTTGATAGGGGCCGTATAGTGGGACTTCGGGAAGCTGGACTTTCTTTTCGGGCAATTGCAGTTAGAGTGCAAAGAAGTGTAGACACTGTGGTTAGGTGTTGTCAGGCATGGCTTCGAGAAGGCCGTACGCAAAGAGCAAGGGGCACTGGACGCCGCCGTAGAACAACAGACCGTGAAGATCGCCGCCTAAGATTATTGGCCTTAAGGGACCGTTTCTCCACTACCAGGTCCATTGCAAATGAATGGTTTGCAGAATACGGAAGACCTATTGGCATGCGAAGTGTTTACCGACGAATGAGAAGTTTTGGCTTGTTTTCATACCGGCCACACTGGGTCCTCCCTTTAACTCGAGAACACCGACGTAATCGCCTTGAGTGGTGCAGACAACGGTCACTCTGAGACAGTATTTTCTTTAGTGTCTCGATTTTGTTTAGGCATGCACGATGGTCGTGCCAGGGTTAGAAGGCGACGTGGTGAAAGGAGGAATCCACAGTTTTTTGTTGAAAGACATGTTCATCACACTGTTGGAGTTATGGTTTGGGGTGCTATAGCTTATGGTTCCAGGTCACCTTTAATCTTCATCAGAGGTAACATGAACGCGCAGCGTTATATCCACGAAGTTCTAGAACCCCATCTTTTACCCTATCTTGACACCCTGACAGATCCAACTTTCCAACAAGATAATGCCCGACCACATGTTGCAAAAGTCACAATAGACTTCTTTCAACATAATGATGTCACATTGTTACCATGGCCACCAAGATCTCTCGACTTATCCCCAATTGAGCACGTGTGGGATATGATGGGTAGGAGATTGCTCAATTTGCAACGTCCTCCTCAGACTCTAGAAGCACTTCGAGAGGAGTTGGTAGTTGCCTGGAATGAGATACCACAGGAGGACATTGACCACCTGATCAGAAGCATGCCTAGGCGCGTTGGAGAATGCGCAGCACATCAGGGTGCATCCACACATTATTAAAAGTCAAAGGGCTTTAAAGCAGTGCAATCATTTTGAAATTTTTATCATTTACTTATTATGCTTCATTAAGTACTTATACAAAATTTTATTAAAATAAAACCATTTAAACTGGGTGTTCGGATTTATATGTCACTTAGTATATTTCGATATATCCTATATCTTGAATAAAGGATAGTTTCTCAGGTTTCTTTCATTCTCCTACCTAAGACCAAGCCTATACCATCCTGATGAGCGGCCAAATAGCACGAAACAGCTTTGAAATTTTAAATTGCATCAATTTCAACATCCCAAATTTCAGCTTGCTAACTTGACCTGTTCAAAAAATAAATAGGAAGGGTTGACAAGCACTGTCAATGTAAAACATGGAGATTTTGTGCTTATGTAATTCGGAATAGGTAGATTTGACCTTGAAGTACTCCCCATGCCCTCTTGATAACACGTAATATTGCCCTCTAAATATTATTACCTGAAGAACAGTTTACCATAATACATTTGATAAAATTCAGGGATTACGAACCTATAAGAATAGTGATGTCCAGTAAGCCTCCCGAATCTTGCTCCTGCCATGAGTTCCTTATCCTATGTTCCTGTCAATCCCGAGAATAGGTAATATGCAAACTTACTTCGAATTTCTTTAACATCTCACAACAAAATGAGATAAATACACGTATTTTGCATACCCAAGTTCTACTACCAGCCACTCTAACACGTGGAACAAAAGTACACGAACGGCTCTGTATTTTTCTTGGTAAAAGGTATTTTCGAAAAAGGTCAAGATCAGGACTCCACTAACTTTGAATAAGGAGTTCAATCATGACCTTGATCTCGAGTCCACCTTTAACGCTATGCCAAGGTCAACCTTTGTTTTTTTAATACACCGTCAATCGACAGAACGAAAAATTCTACGTCCGAAATGTACTAAAATCTAAGATCAAGGTCACCTGTGAAGGTCAAATGTATAAGGCTAGGGAAAATTCTCAGAAATCTAGCAAAGTACTGATGTAAAAATCAAGGTTAGACCCTTAGGGCGTCTGGCACCAACCAAGAGAACGCAAAACTGAGTATGTTGTTGAAAATTTATAAAATTAGCGACCTCCGCAGTTCTGTATGCGAATAATAAGTTAGGTGGGTCTGTCTGGCAGGCACCTCGCGGGGCGGCATCATGATGTGGCGCTTCGTTGCCGAAAACAGACAGTAACTCAGCAAGGCATTCTTGTTGCGGTAATTGTCTCTGAAAGTTGTAATAAATTATGGCGCGAAAATGTTATCGGTTGAGTTCCATTTTTCTAATGACTTGGTGACACTTAAAAATTCACTGCAGTGAGAACACTGCACGTATTGTGAAACTTTGAATTTAAGTTTACTAAAGAGTGAGGTTAAGATTCAGTACTGACGTTCGATCCGCGCGGATTACTATGTTTCTATATGCAAAACTTAAAAGGCATCCGTCGTAACCCGTGAAATTTTGCCGGTGCCAGTTAACAAAAAGTTGAGCTTCTAATAAATAACATTGAAGATGATGGTCAAAGTCAAATACAAGGTCACCATTGAACTCCTCATTCAAAGTTAGTATAGACCTGACCTTGACCAATTTAAAAAAATAGCTTGTCTGGAAAAATCTGTGTCGTTCCGTTTCTTTTGTTACACCCGTTTTGGTATCAAAATTGAGATTGTTTCGAGTTTCAGGACAA